TTGTCCTAAATAAAAAAAATGTTTTTAAAGCCATTGTGTAATGTTAAGTACTCTGTATTGGTGAGTACCCAAACTGAAGCACTTGTGTCTTCGTGTTCGCCTCATCACTTCTTCACCTTCCTGTTTCTGCAGGAGTACTTCCTCAAGTCTCAGATGCCCATTACCCCAGAGGGCGTCGGTGATCCTGTCCCGTGCTCCGTCCCAAACTGTCCAAACTGCCTCACCCCGGGCTCGGCTTTCATCATGTCCAAAGAAAGCAAACAATGTGTAAGACATCTAATCATTTTGGTGTTTGACACATACCTCAAGGCTTCCTAAACCGTAGAATCCTCCTTTTTTTTTCTTGCTTTTTATCCAGACTGATAAAAAGACTGAATGCGGCCCACTGTGTGAGAGGTGTGTGTGGATTCGCAGCGGGCCCTTGGCCTACCTCATCACAGACGACGTCACCTCAATGGCTGAAATCCCAGAACAGTTCAGGCCGCCCATTCATCACCCGTTTTTCATGGCACTGTTTTTCTAACCGTGCCGCTCATCGAGGAGCAGAAATAGAAACAGTTCTGTGGCGAACTTAGTCACCTAAAGCACAGAACCTGAGAAACACAGAGTTTTTTTTTTTTACCAGTTTTGTTAGATTTTTGCAAAGTATCTTTTATATTTGTGTTCCTTTTTTCCTATCTGAACTTGAAAAAGAGAATTTATGTTCCAAGCAGGAAAAAAATCAGCCTCTGTTCTTAATTGCTTTTAGCAGCTCCTTGCTTTGAACTCCGTTTAGATTTTTAAAAATTGTGTCATTCTTTAATAAACGAGTGTTTGCTTGCAACACCAGACAGCTGCAACTCATCAGCCTCTGCCTCACAGCTGTTCCAAAGACGCTGAAGTCTCTCGTCTCACAGCTGAGCCGTGCTGTATGTGAGTAACAAGGATTTCCATTCAGCAGTCAAGATGTGGGGGTGGAACAAGAAATTTTTTTGACATAAAGACTTTTTTGTTTATTAATCTCATAAAATAACTTAATCCAAAACTCATCCAAGTTGTATTTTAACTGAAAGTTAGCATTTTTGATTCGGTGAAATGTAGATAAATCAAATATAATGGTGTCAGCAAATATAAGMACAAACATTCTTCTTTTGGGAGTCATGGTTCGGGGAGGAGGAAAGTCTACGCCTTTTCTTTTCATTTAGGCATAAAAACTAGAGAATTTGCAATTTCTGCAAAAATGTAAACGTGAATGCTTAATGTGATTTTAGCAAGAAAATATAAAAGATGTACAAAAGTTTTGGAAAATTAGTAGGAAAGTAGCTGGAAAACCTGAATCTTGCACAMATTCTGTGAATTGGACAGTAAGAAGCAGAAACTGAAAAAAGGTTAGTTTAGCTGAAAAATGGCTCAAAAGTGGCTTAAATTGGAGAAAATGGCTGAAAGAAGCATAAAAAATCAAAAATAGCAGAAAAGCTAATAGAAGCACAACAAAGTTTAACTTAGCAAAATAGATGGAAAAAAAAAGATAGCTGAAAACGATAAAATTAGCTAAAAGGAAGCTGAAATTACCACAAAGTCTAAAATAAAGCCGAATCAGAACAAAAGGTGAAAAGTGCAGGAACGGTTTAACTATTTTGAAGGATTTTAAGGATGTTGAAGACAGCTCCGCTCATTTTCAGTGGCGGAAACAGCAAAATACAGGATCTCAAAAACTATGAATTACTGAAATACCAAAGTCATGGCAGGAATCTCCTGAAGGAGCTGAATGTTCTGATACAGGAAGGGTTGAAATGGCACAAAAATTGCAGAAYGAGATACGTGCCAAAAAACACAGAWGAAAAATGAATCATCTTATACCATTCACCTAGGATCTGGTTTGACCACATTCTAAAATGGTTTCACTCTAACYTCAAGTTAAAAACAACAGATTTCATYATGTAATACACACAAATTAAACCCATATTTAAAAAGCTGTTTAATTTGCAGTGCTTCCATAGYTTATTAACTCAGTATAAGTCAGGAGCTGATGGTCAGATGAGTTAACTGTTCATCATCGAGACCACCTCTATAAAAACCAGAGCAGGCAACAGAAAACAGCAATGACCTTCGAGAAGCAAACAGTTGCTTTAAATCAATCTGGGAAGARTTAAATGTATCCAAACACTTTGGAATTCATTAAATTACAGAGAAAGACAGTGGACARGCAGAAAATATTTAAGAAAGCTGCCAATTTTCCCCAGAGTATTTGTCCCAGCAGATTCACTTTTATAATTATCAGTAATATTTGCAGTCATTAAGTCGACCAGACACTCGTAGACCAAGWGATTCTAGAGTTTAATCTGAGGCTGTCTGATACTGGAAGCTTAGACCAAACAGGGTCATGAATCAACAGYGGTCCCATGGCTGCAAGTTTATAAACAAAAGAGAAGAAAAGAGTCATAGTTCTGCTATAGTCTGGTCAAAGTCCAGACCTCAGTCTGACTGATATGTGTAGGCTAAAATTTATCCACAACCATGTGAGAGACTGATTAAACAGAAAACCCCCTGCTGTGAGTGCTGTCTAAAGGCGCTTTTAAACTGCTGAATCATAGGGTGGACTTCCTTTTGGTTAAATTTTTTGTAATAAAAACTGAAGTGGTAGAATCTATTGAGTGTTTTTAGGACGTTAGATTGGAAATCTTTTAAAACTTGTAAAGACCAGATTATTTTGTTTTATTCTGATATGTAAAAATCTAGAGTTATAGGTGGTGGTGGATGTTTTCATTTCCCTCGACTTTAAACCAGAACAATCCTGTTTAACAGCAGTTGCCAAATACTCTACTTTATGTTGCTTATATTTATTTATCTTTTAGTTTCAGCTAAGCTATGAGGAAAAACACAGCTAAAAGCCAACACCTGGAACGAATTAAGGATTGTAATATTGTATTACAGAAGAATGATTCACAGATCTGTGGAACGGTCTGCAAAGTTTCTGTGGAACTGGTTAATATTTGCTTTGGGCCGTTTTGGAAGTTCCTGTGTTGAAGAAATGAGAGCTTCGAGGACTAAAATTGTCAAAATGAGAAGCAGCCGTTCATTTAAAACAATACTAATAATAATGTAAAGAGCTTTATATTTTTATACAGTAATAACATCCATGCACCTGGAACCAGAAGGGTCTGGAAGTGGCAAATATTTCAATAATAAACTCTCCGTCTTCTTCAACCTCTTATTTGGGGTTGCAACAGGTCCTAGAAAGGTCCACACTTTTGTCTCTCCGACAATGCTCTCCAAGTCCTCCTGGGGGACCCCCAAGGTGTTCCCAGGCCAGAGAGAATATACAGTATATAGTAAGTAAGTAAAATTTTATTTAT